GTGTTGGCGTATTATTTCATGTCGGTTGTTAATCTCTGCGTCGATAATGCCGGTGTTGTCGAAGTCAATCCGGTGGTCTTTGACTTCGCAGTGCTCAGCGACTGCGCTGCGCTCGTGGTCGAGCTTGCGAACGTCGTTTTTGTGTTGGCGTATCAATCAATAATAAGGCATCCTTTTGTTACACCAGGAGCTCTTCGCATGCATTGATCTTGACTTCTTCATTTTCAAAGACAGTCATCCAAACGTGGCTTAATCTGTGTGGGCCCAAGCTACTTAGATCTTTCCGTTCGATGATCGAAAAAAGCACGTCCTCGAGGTTTGTAGGTTTATACGGACGTCCGGTCATATCAGCATGGAGAAATAAAGAATCAGTGACAAGCATACAAGAGAGTGCACGAGAAGGAATGATCCTATACTCTTGGCAGCTCTCCGCTGCCCGTTGAGAAACCCGGCCACCGAGTGCCGTCGAACTGCTCTCTTTGGAGCGTATCTTGCTTCGCTCACCAAGAACCACGTGGCGAGTATTTCGGTACCCAGGACCGAACCTGGATCCCCAAAATTAAATTCGTCTGAGGACAAGCAAAAAGACGGCCTTACTTACTACCCCTTCATCGTGTTTTCCCCTCAGCTACGCTACCGCTTCGGAAACTCGTAGTCAGACATGTACACGTTACTGAAAAATAGTAAGGAATTACATTTACAATTACTCAAGGCTAAATTGTAATTTATTACAATTACAATTACCCTCCGATGAAAGTAACTGACCGTTACCTCAAAAAGTAATCCGTTACTTTCGTGGCGTTACTTTTAACATTATTGTCCTCAAGTAAGAAACAAAGGGAAGAGGGTTATTCAAGTTCTTATTCTTGCCACCTGTTGCATTTAATGACCATGAATCTTTTGAGCAACAGCTGGCTCTCGAATGTCTCGTCAGACGTTTCGCATTATCTCTTAGTCAATATGTCGACTGTTACGCTGAATACCATTTGAGCTGAGGCACTGGATGGGAGTGCCATATTGTTCCTCACGAATGCTTCATGCTCTGCATTGAGCTTTTTCAGCGAAGCAAGGGAAGTACTATTTACCTCGAATGTAGAGCAAAGCTTCGTCGTAGCAGCCGTTTCCGGCTATTCGAGAGATTTAGTAGATACATACATACATACATACATTTTATTGACTCAGTGGGACTATTAAAGACATACGTTTGCGGGCACATCAAAGCCAGCGAAGGGCTTGTGGGATGACACCCTAAAAAAAAATTAGAAAAGTCCACTTAAGTGATAAGGTAAAGGCATTGCCTTCAACATGAGAACTGAAAGATAATAAAACTTTCCCCACCCCCTTCCCTGCCCCAACCCCTTTTCCTCCCTCCCCCTCCCCCTTTCCCAATTGTAACACAGAATACTACTTACAGAAACAAAATACAGCATACGAAAGCAATGTACAAATGAATGTAACAACGTAAATAGAATGAACACTTACAGACGCGAGTCCCAAATAAAGTGTAACACAATGCACGGAGACCAAAAATAAAATAGAAAAGAAGAGGCAACATTTCGAATCTGCGGTAGCTATAGCAACCAGCACATCAAGATCGTCATAAACGCACACGGAGCAGGCACTAAATACTATCAAGGTTAAGACACTTGAGTTCTTTTTTTAGAGTTTTCAGTGATGTGATATCATAAATATAGTCCGGGAGGGCGTTGAAGACACGTGGCACATAAGATTCGCGCGAGCATTTACCATACCGGGTGCAACAACGTGGCACTACAAATCGAGGAGAGCTGCGTAATGTGCGGGACGAATGTAGCGGTGTCTTGTAATCACTGCTCCAAAAATTGCGAAGGAGGACGGTCTCAATAAAACGTGAGCGGAAATTCGGCAGTTGAAGTCTTTCAAAAATGTCGGCAGTGGCAGAAAGAGGCGTATTGTAAGGGATGTTCTTCAGTATGCCTCTTAACAAAGTGTTAACTTTTGCCTGCCAGCGACCTGAACAGATACCAAACACTATGATTCCGTACCGTAGCACACTGGAGGCAAGCGCGTGGACTAACAAAAAACGAACATTGACGGGCATAAACATCCGTGTGTTATAGAGCATAGAAGATATAGTTCGTAATTTATCGCATAAGTAGGATATATGAGTGTTCCAGGACATGTCGAAATCAAAATGAACACCCAAATATTTCAGGTTGTTAACAGATTTGATCGGGTCACAGTTACACGGATGGCAGCATGAGGAATGGAGAATAAACCTGAGAGTAGCTTGGTGTCTTTTAAGGGGATTGCGGAAGCAAACAAGCTTTGTTTTGGAGCTGTTGATGTCGTAGCAGCCGTTTCCGGCTATTCGAGAGATTTAGTAGATCCTTCCGATACCTCCGATACCCGCGATAACGGTAACCGATAACGATATGATGCATACGCAAAGACGGCGGCGAAGTATCGGATATCGTTATCGGAGTCATCGGACCGATCTACTAAAATTCTCCATTCTCTAAATCGCGAAGCTGTAGAAGTCATCAATAGCAGAACAGAGTTGTAAGAGTAAGGTGATAATTAAATAATAAATAAGGTTTGGCTCGATATTCTTCTTCTTTTGGTTCTGAACAGTTCGAGCCACACGTTATTCGTGTGGCTCGAACTGTTTTTTATTCGCCAACGTCTCGAACTGAACAGTTCGAGACGTTGGGGAATAAAAAACAGTTTCCAGTATAGAAATATAAGTAATAAAAGAAGAAGGACACTCATAACAACATATAATTAGAACGTCGGTTAAAACAGGTAAATGTAAACGCACGTTCGCCGTGTGTACCTTTCTTGGAGCCGTTCAAAAACGCACGGAGCACGAACCGACTGCAGTTTACTCCGGTGTTTTCCAGATAGACGTTCACTGATGCCACGGACAGCAAAGTGTAGAGTACTAAGTAAGCCGCGCTATGGCCCCACTCACGAATTTCGCTCTCTCCTCAAGCCCAGAATATCAAGTCTACGTCAGCCACCATTATGTTTTATTTGTAATATTATCTGCTTGAGGTAAGATGCGTCCTGCTGGGGCAAAACAGGAATAAGAAGAAAGGAAGACTGTTCCCATTTTCTAAATGCTCGCAAAAAGCTGACTCACAAAAAGGGTAGGGTAGACGGAGCGTTATCTCCTGTTGTGACATTATGAAAATGGTCGTAGCCACTGTATCCGAGAAGGACATTGTTAATTCTTTTCAGTGCCTCGAGCTTCTCGAAGAGGCGCACAATCACTTGGTGTCCTCCTCTCCCCGTCTTCGATGGCAAAGAAAAAACAAAGGGACTAAAAAAGAGTGGAAATAACTTGCCCCCTCCCCCCCCCCTTTTTTTATGAATTGTTTATTTGGATTTTGTTACATTGATGTTAGGGTCTAAAAAAATGATAGAATCAGGGGCTTGGTGTTGCAAAACAAGGCTTTGAGGAAGTGAAGAGTGCCAAGCCCCCCTTTGCGCTGGTCGATTCCCGTGACAGTGTCACTGCGCCCGACTTTACAAAAACGAAAAAAGAAAAAAAAAACCTTACTTTAGAATGGGGGCAGGGCGGCGGTTGATTCTGCCAAAAAATGTAACGGATTACAAGGAATCCGTTACGTCAAAAATGTAAGGGAATTACTTTAAAATTACTCTAGAAAATATGTAATTATTCCGTTACCAAATTACCGATAAATGTAAGGGAATACAAGTAATTTCGTTACTTGTAACGGATTACGTACAAGTCGTAGTAACAGTCGCCTATGTTGACGGCGGCAGCGTCTATCTCCACGAGCCAGCCAATCAGGCGAAAGCGCCGTTGGTAGGGCGTCTATCGTTGCTAGAATGTCCTCTTCTCCCTCTTTTTTTTTCCTCGCCGCCTTGAAGGTCCAAGCGATCAAGTACACGCTTACCGGCGAGCGGTCGTATATCACTACTGCGCGATGCACCTTAAGGTCCCCAGCCCAGCGTTTGTATCACACTGGCTAAATTGCTCATCCACAGCTGCGACACCACACGCTCACTAAGGCAGATTAACTTTCGGCTGTATAAACATACACACACCAATATTGATTTTTGTGGCTACCTGTTTAAAGGCCGACGACCAGACTCGAGATTCCGCAAGGCAGAAGACCTTCCTCTCCACGCCTTCGGGCGAGGGAAGCGAAGGATGGAAAGAAGGGACCAAGAGGGGCGGGCGTGGGTGGAAAGGGTAGGAGGGAGAGGAGGAAGCGGCCGAAAAGTGGAAAGCGCGAACTGGTCGTCGGTCTTTAAGGAGATTGCCTGGCACGCGACACCCAAGACACGAATGATTCGCAGACATTTACGTAACGTAAGAAAACGATGCTGTATAAACCAGCCTTTAAACATAAAGTATACGCAAGCGTTTCCGCGAAAGATTAATAAGAATACGCCTACGCACTTCTTTTTGAGTTGTGTATGCGTAATCATGAATTTAAAATTGAACGCAGCGTAGTGTTCCACGAGCGGAGTGTCCTGCAAGCAGAGCCAATGTACAGTTACTCTGTGCGTGCATCAATGCTTTGGGGCTGGCGGCCATCCCAGATTGGGGCAACACTGTCTTCTGCTAGCAGAGACGCCGTTTTGCCTTCCTTTCCCTGCAGCTGTTTGAGTTGTTTACGCAGGTATTGGGCATTATCATTTGTGAAATGGCACAGCGTAACTGTGAGAACCTGCAACGTCAGGCATCCCGTCAACTGTCCGTTTGTTGTCGGCGCCGGTCAGAAGGCATGAGGCAAAACTGTGGCTGCAGTCAGGAAGAGGCGGCACTTTTCCAGCAAAGGCTCTCGCCACTGTAGAAAGGCATAGCCAGCGGCAACATTCAGGCACTCTAATATAGTTCGTTTCTGAAGTACGCGTTGGGGGGGGGGGGGAGCCACTCCTCGAAAGCTAGGCTCCTATGACAGTTTCCAAACTGAGTTGTTGTAGCAATGTTGGCGTGGCATAAGACAATGTTGTTTCACCCTAAATATTAATATCGTCCTTACCTGAGGAGAGTAAAGAATCCATCTGTACGTAGGTTGCTGATGCTATACTGGAGCTTTTCAGACTGAGTTCCGTAAAACATGGCTTCGAAGACCTCGTTCCGCATGGCAAGAAGCGTTTTGTGAGCCCTGAAGGTCTGGGGCGGGTCTGTGCCATTCTCCATCAGGAACTCCACGTCGGTGTGTCTTGCTTCCATCAAGAAAGCGAGATCGTCTCTTTCGGACCCTCTGGCCAAAGCAGCGTGATATGGCGCCATCTGAAACGAGTCCAAAGTGTATATTTACGTCCCAGTCCACACGCCAAGGAGCGGTTGTGATGTCAATCCGCTCCGGTAGTGCTGCTGTCGGTACCGGCGCATGCGCGGACGTTTAACCTCAATCGAATACAATTGGTGCGCACGAGCAGTGCCACACCTGGTTTAGGTATACGCGAACTTGTTTGTAAAGAAAGTATAATCTACACATGGCTCGCGCTGACCGCCACAACAGCGGGCATTCTGAAGGACCTTGCTGCTCAGCGAACATCATGAGCAGGAATCACCATTGGTATTGTTCGGTGACACCACGTGCAAGCCATGTATGTTGTTTATTTTTTTTATTTTATTTTTTTATTCAGCCACAAAATTTAGGGTAGCGAGGCAAACGGCAGATTTGCTCTGTCTGCTGGGGCCCTGCTTCTCGCTTACACTGCTTAACAAAAAAACATCGGAGAAAGAAAAAAAAGGAAATGCAAGGAAATAATTAGTAAAGCAATAATCTGTAAGTAAAAATGCAACAAAGCATTGCGATTGAATGGTTACTTAAAACAACTGTGCAGAATATTACAAAAAAAAATAAAAGCATGCTGTACATCCTTCCAATCAAGAACACAAAGTCAGTGGCACGTGAAAATATTCATTCCATATTAAATATTAAATTTAAATATTTATTATGCTGCCTGGCTTTTGTGAAGACCTTAATCGCTGTGACTGGTTTTATATAAATTTAGGCAGAGGTGCGCAAAATAAATTTGAGTCAGTCAAACAACCCTTGGACACTCAGGGAGGGCTTGCAGCCCTTTTGTGGGGGTACCAAAAAGAACGCAGGAGCACTAGAAGAAAGGGGCCGTTGCAGGAGGGTTCAGACGAAGGACACAACTGAGCATCATGAACTGGAAGTTAAACTATATACATTATACTAAATTTTCCGGTGTATAAGTTGAGGGTTTTTGACAAGCTTTCAATTGGTGCGTCTTATACAATTGCATACTTGATTTGTGTTTTTGTTTGCTTCGCGTATGGGCCTAAAAAGTGTTAGGACACGCCAATCACAAAATATAATATAACTACAGTTAGTACCCAATATATGCGTCTCTATTTTCGTTTAACTTGTTTTGTAATCCGGGCGACAATTTTGTATATAAATCGATTATTATGCAGGACCCTCGGATCCACCCCATTTGTGAAGGCCACCATGCTTGGTGAATCGGTGACGCACCTCGCCTAATCCGTGGTGTCCCCTGCCATGCACTTCCAGACAAGAGTCTCTCGGTGTCTCTCGCTTCAGCGTCCTTGTTCACCTTCCGCGTTTCGAGCACGTGGTTCAGAGGCGTTGACATTTACAGCGTCGTTCGCTTCGTCGGAGTCTTCGACACTGGTCGCAACAGCGATGAGAGTGATTGTCATCGAGAGATTTAGGAAGCTGGTCATTTTGACTCCGACCCGCTGGCGACAAGCTCCAGCGACGACGAGAGCATACCACGAACAAACTCGCTGTTATCCTCGACGATCCCGCACGTGCATGCTGGTTGGAAGGTCCAAAGGCAATGAGGCGAGACCAAGAGTAGCGTTGGAGTAGCCAGGAAGCGGGAGATCTAGGTGCGATCGTGCCATGACAAGGCAATCTTGGGCCAGCATGGGGGTCCGTAGAATGAGAGGGCGTTCAGGTGTACACATAACCATCACGTGGTTTAAAGGTAACATGAATAAGACCAAATTGGTCAGTATTGTTTGGTCGCCAGATGAAAATGATCAACATTATTTAATTGATTATCGCAATTACTACAGCTCTGACTAGTGTGAATCTTGATGTAAATACTAAGTACCCTATGAACATTCTACGTCAAGAATAATCTACCCGTTTAATTTTCTTGTCCAAACTTTTTTAACTGCGTGAATTTGTCGCAGGGGTTATATTCGTCTTCCGATTCGTTGACGACAATGTTGAAACTGGTTTCCGTTTTGCATATATTGCGATCACAATAGAAATAATCAGGCTTCTTAATGATGTTTCGCGGCGCCCACCATAAAAATGCACAGGTGCAACTTATATACCAACTTTTTTTTTTTTTTTTTTGCGAAAACACATGTTAATGGGCGGAGTGCCACATATACAAAATTCCGACATATGAATCGGAAAGTGCAGTAATCAATTCTTTTTATAAACAAAAATAAGCCTCGTTACAGGAATCCTATAAGTGTGGATTGAAATTACCTTCCGGCAAGGCATACATAATTTTATACATGATATTCGAAGTCAAAGCAACGCCCGTAGGTCATGAGCACCACGTGGAATTCAAGGGACAGCTCTAGGCTTGAAACGAGCTCTCACGGGACAACCAGTTGCGCTACGTAGGTTTGTTTCAAAGCAAGGGGCACGAGCAAGCGAGTCCGTGCGCACAGCATTTATGGGTCAGGTCGTGTGTTCGTGGCATGCAGCCTCGATGAAGTCAAAGCGTTACTTCACATTATGGCGTCATCCCAAGGGCGCCAAAATGCATAAGAACACAAATTTCATGCGACTTTGCGTCACACCACGGCTCCACATGATACCGTGGCGCACGTGTCGCTATATGACATCGTACGTCACGTGACACTGTGACGTCATGTGTAACGTGAGCTCATGATGCCGCGTGATATCATACTTTCACGGTGTCGCGTCATGTAACGTCAGGGGACACGCTGACTTCCGTGACGCCATAAAGTCACGTGACTCTGTAACGTCATGACGTTGTTTGACGCCGTGATGTCACTAACAACGCGACTGGACGGTACGTAACAGTGACGTTACAGGATGTCAAGTGATTCTGATGTGACACCATGCCACGTGACTGTGATTTCACATGGGAATCCATGACTCGGCCTCAGTGGCCTCCTTGCCCGCAAAAGGACTGGGGCGAGAACGCCTATAAACGGTATGCATATTAGAACGTTTAAAAAATTCCAGCGAAAGTCGATGTTTCTTTTTTTTTATGTTACTAAAATATTAAAAGTGATACTACAGATTGTTTCACTTTACGCGCGATCCAAGACTATTTGTAGCAACTGAAATTCTCGCACGTTCTCATAGTTGACGAGGCACTAAAAAAACATCCCGGAGAGGGGTCCCGGGTGGCAGAAATAAACATAAAAACCTCCGGCTTAAGTAAGAATCAATTGACTTTCTCCTGAAATGAAGCGTAACTCGAGTCTTCTAGCCGTCTGGAAGCCGCTAAAAAAAATCTGTCTGATAAACACATTATATCAGTCATAAACGTCTCATTTCCCCCTCGCGATGGCTTCAATAATGCCCGGTGGCAACTGCTAATACACGTTTGCTCTACGGACAGACTGCTCCTGGTTAATTCAGTTGGTAGAGTTTTCCGCTTGTCTTGGAGAGGTTCCGAAACAGAACCCCGGCCCAGTCGTATTTTTTCAGCGGCTACCAGTTACTACGAGGGCGTGTGTTGCACTCCATTTCAAGGGGTAGTATATTTGTTCTTACGTAAATCTCACGCCCTTTCAGTGCTTTTCCTAAAATCATCATATCAATCAGCTAAGGCTTGTTACCGCGGCCGAATTCGCTTCGGCGAATTCGGAATTTGGCGGTAGTGAAACGTACCATTTTGGGATAAAGAGTTGCCGCGGTTCTCGATTACGGAACGCAGACGTTTCAGCTTCTTGATCCACTTGCAGCGTCTCGTCTCCTTCTTCCTTTGCCTGGAAGAAAGAAGTGAAATGTTGGTGATTTGTATTACGACCCTTACAGGGATCGTTGTTAAGGGCTCTTCCCGCCAAATGGCGTCCATTGTTGTTGCGACTGCCGTTTTTGATGTTTTAGTTGGCGTTATGTTGCGTCCGTCATTGATGTTGCCAAATGTAAAAAAAAAAAAAAAAAGAAATCGGCCGCTGTTTGTGGCAACTGGGCCTGGGTACGCTGCGTGCGAAGCGATGGCGTTGCAACTGAGCTACGCACAGCTTTTTTGTTGTTTTTGTCTTTAATACATTGAAGATTCCACTCAAAATTTAGGTTAGTGGGTAGGAAGGTGAACAGATGGTTATACACACAGTGGTTGAAATGATATGAAAAGTTAAGAGGAATGGACTTTCTGAACCATGGCACTGGAGCGCATTTTCGCCACTTCACAGACCCTAACAAACAACGTTTCTAAGTAAGCAACATTCTCGACCATTTCCAAATATGAAAAATCTAAAACTCCTAAGCGCGTATCAAACACCAACAAAAAAAAAACATTCAGGTTTCGGTTGGCGAGCTCCGTAAGCACTTTTTGCCTTCGAGATTTCTTCTAGAAAAATGTATTTAGTTGTACGCGATGAGTCGGCATTCCTCTCCGTCATCTGGGATTTCCAGAGGCTGTAGAGGCCTATCAGCTGTGCATATTGTGCTGCGAGACTTGAAAACTTTAATTTCGGTAACGAATTACACGTTTGTTATTATCTTATATATACACCGTGCGAATTTCTTTTCCTTGTAAATTGCATGTTGTTTGGTTTCTGGCATGCACATCTAATACATTTGGTTGGATTATTTTTAAGAAATAATGCATAGGGTGGCTGAAAGAACCAGACTCGATCAAAAATGGGCCGTAAAAAATCAGCGTCTGCGCGTAGCAATCTAAACTTTTTGTCAAAGGTGTATTTCTCATGTCGGTATTATCCTGTAACATTACAAAGCGTAGCTCTTTCTCTGTAACAAAATGGGGCAGAAAACGTAGCAGAGTCAACGGCGGACGGCGACGTACACGACCGAGTCGAGTGATGGGGCGCGTTTGGCGCACGTATTGATAGATGGCGCTACCTCCTCAGCGAGAGTGCTCGCGACGAATGTGGTCTATTAAAAATAACATAATCTTTTTTTGTAATTCTACCTTTTCTTTAAAAAAAACGCAAGCAATAAAAACAAACCCTAAAGTAAAAAAAAAAAAAAGCGTCGGTGCATTACGACGGCGCTTTTGGGTGCCGACGGATTTCGTGTGCGTGTCGTCTGTTTTATTTCGCTGGTCGGCTACACCTTCCGCCGACGCCATCTATTAATACATGCTACTCGACTTGGTCGTCTGCGCCAACTTCCGCCGTTGACCCTGGCACGTTTGTTAACCTTATTTTTTAAAGGAAGGGAGCCAGGCTTTGTAATATTACAGGATAAAACCGACCTATGAAATACAGTTTTGACAAAAAAGTTTAGATTGCTACGTGCAGGCGCCGATTTTAACGGTCCATTTGAGATCGAGCCTGGTTACTTCAAGCAGCCTATATTTTTTATTGCGAAAGCATTCACTGTCCTATATAGGACAGTGAATGCTACAGACACCGCCGGCTTTGCTCCATATGGAGCGAAGCCGGCGGTGTCTGTAGCCGTTGTCTATATAGCAGCGAAAAACGGCACCTAAATTCCCACTGGCTGAGCAAAACGGCACCTAAAGTCCCATTTGCTGAGACGCGTCATATCAGATGCACGTCGCGGAAGCCAGCGGGGCCGCTCAAGGTCAAAGCGGACGCGCCTCGGAGATAAAACAAAAAGAAGAGCACAGCGTCGCAGGTGCATCGTCGCCGTGTGAAAAAGGAAGATGTGACGCGCTGCTTGTAGAAATGCGCTGTGTGTAGGAATTATTTCGCTTTCCTACACGTAAGTAGGCTTAAGTGTCTTCTTTGCAGTTTTGTTCTCAGTCTTCCGAATGGTCGTGGTCCCTTTTTTTGTGAATAATATGTGTATAGTCGTGTTCACAATTCATACGCAAATTAACCTTTAGCATCGGCGTCTTCTCTGCCAAGCATATCTTGGTTATTGATCAGAAAAAGCACTCTCTCTCTTGTACGATCCTTTCCCTTTTTATCTCTTCGCAATTCGGGAGAGCCGAAGCGGTATAAATTACCCACGAGCACCCTGGCGGGACAACGCGACCACGGCGGGAAAAGCGGGACCTGTCCCGGCTAAATCGGGACGTCTGGTCACTTTATCCAAGTCGCGCAAAAGACGCCGGAGGCCAGAGGACTTTCATTTTCTGGAATGGCTCCCGGCACCAGGGCGTCTGAAGAGCAGGAACTTCTCGCGGGGTTCGTTGGGGAAAGACCTGAGACATGTACGAGACTGAAAACAAGGCATCACTCGTACAATTCGTTCCACGTCGCCCTGGACGAATGACTGCTTGATATTGTAAGGAAACCCGGGATGTGGCATGCCGGCTGCGTCTTCCGCCCCTTTTACAATATTTTTGTGGCCCTCGCGATTTTTCGAGGATTATGATGTCACCGTAACTACCCACAGTATCGTCGCGGAAAACAAATTCCTCTACTGTTGATATACGAGGGACTTCAGTACAAAAAGTGCGGCGTTCTTCGCAAATGTTTGGGACTCCGAATATGATGTGTACTGAACCATGGTTAAAGGCGCTAAAAAGACGTACACAAGATAGAAGACAAACACGGGCGCTCCATACTTCCCAGACCAGTATTCGCCTTTCAGGGAGGATCGGAATTACACTCAAAAGACTATAAGAATGGGAACTGCGTCGTCATAGAGTGTAAATTTTTATTTATGCCGGGCCGTCAGAAAAGGACGCCTCGAGACGTACGAAAAATGTGTCTGGGTTGAAATGCCTATGCCTGACGGCTCGAATTGCCTCATAGGTTGCTACTACTTCTCACCTAATTCAGATACTCGCGCTTTTGTAGAGGATTTCACAGATCGCGTCAACGATGTAGATTTTTCTAACTACAAGGTAGTACATATTTATGGTCACTTGAATCTTCATAAGGTCGATTGGTCAGCTGGTCTAATCCAGAGTTACTGTACTCGCATTCGTGAAAAAAGCACGGTTCCTATTTGAGTTCGTCAATTTTAACAAACTCTTTCAGCTTAATACAATAAAGAAATGTTGCTGGAAATATTTTAGACTTGGTAATAATTAATGTTTCTGTCTTTCATGGGGGTCAGGCATGCGACACGCTTGTATCAATCCACAAGCTTCATCTACCGTTTTCTTTATCTCTTGTAATTCCGACTGCAGAGCATGCGACCATGCAGGGGCGAAGTTTAGATATGCCTATGGCGAATACGCGGGGCTATACCGTCGTCTGCACTGACGACAGTTTAGCCCTGACTTGAACGGCTTCTCCAGCATCAAGAACGTCGACGCTTCAGTCGATATGCCGATGACGATTATAAAGGCAGCTGTGAACGTATTTATACCCAAAGGCAGTCCAGACCGAATTTCCTACTTACATTTCCGTAGATTTGAAATATTACATGTGCAAGAAGCGACGCCACCATAATCTACATAAGAAACTATATTCTTAGTCTGTAGAAGGATAGTTAAGAAACTTCATGTTCGGGACGAGATACTTTATCAGGACCGCCTGGAACCATTAAAGAGTAACCGCAACGTGTTTTAGCGTCGTGTGCGAACAAGGGAAAACAACGTCAGCGCCACGGTGCTGAAAATGAACGGCAAGCTTTATCGTACATTGCGAGAAGCATCTGAAATGTTCGCTCGGCATTTTATCTCCACTTTTCTTCACTTGGATAGCACTTCTGCGGTTCTCAACTTTAAAAAGAGTTCTGACCGTTCGGCTTATCAATGTATAACAGAAAATTAGGTTCTTATTCTTGCGTGTAAGCTGAAGTCAAAGCTTTCCACAGGTTGTGATGGTATTCCCATCTTCCTTATCGAGTAATGCGCTGAAATCCTTGTTCCCGCTTTAACTCGTGTCTACGATTTGGTGTTGCGGTGCGCCGCGTTTTCTTCCTGGTAAAAGAGGTCTGTTGTCATCAAACTATTTAAATATGGTTATCCATGTGATGTGAAAAACTTTCGCCCTGTGTCAATTTTGTGCGGTTTTTCGAAAGTTCTCAAAATGGCCATTGATGAACAGCTGAACAACTAAACAGAAAATATTACCATCGCAGCATATATCTTCCCGAAATGTAGATCAATCCAGACAAATTTAGTTTTTCTTAGATATATCGGCCCTTTTGTAGACAACCGTGGTAAAGTTGACACAATTTATTTCGATGTATAAAAGACTTTTGAAAGGGTTTCACAAAACTCCTTTTGTAAAAATAAAATAAATAAAAAAGTATGCTTTACTTATTGTTCATGCTTTGCAAGCCGCTTGGACAACCACCAGAATCAACATAGTTTTTTTTTAAAGATTGTTTGTCTGGGCCGTTCGTATCCTTATCAGGTGTGCCCCCCAGCCGTTGCTGTTTTTTGTGTTCATTAAAGACTTGCCGTCGTAGGTGCACAGCTCAAAAGCATTAATGCACGCCGATGAATTGAAATGGTTCAACAGGGTTGATAATGTGCAGTAGTGCTTTTTGTCAGAAAACGAAGTATGTCCTATTGAGTAGTGGTGCGAAACAAATCGACTACAACTTAATCTTAAGAAAAGTGTGGCCATGTCAATCACCAGAAAACACGGGAGCATAGTGTCGAACTATAACCTCTCCAAAGAACAGATATACCGTCTATCTCTTGGACGCGATCTTGGTGTTCAAAAGAACTCCAAGATAGATTTTCATCAACATATTTTGCACATAGCCAGTCAGGCATCGCGTTGTCTTGGCGCAGTATCACGGCTAACAAGGAAATTCCGAGTCCCTCATTGCAGTTGCCCTCTTCGTTGTTCACTTGTCTGACCGCGTTTAAGGTTTGCATCTGTAATATAGAACTCTGTATATCTAGCCTATAGCAATGTAA